AGCAGCAGCAGCAGCAGCAGCAGCAGCAGCAGCAGCAGCAGCAGCAGCAGCAGCAGCAGCAGCAGCAGCAGCAGCAGCAGCAGCAGGAGGCCGCCGCCGCTGCCGCCTTGGGCCGTCACAGAGCTCTCAAATTTATACCCTCTCAAGAGTTTCCGTAATTCCAAATGTAAACTATCTGCAGCTGACAAAAAAAAAAAAAAAAAAAAATCATACCCCACCTAGAGCACAAGACAAATCATAGTTAGCGGCTGTGGACAGTTTGAAGTGGGCTCATATCCCACACCTTGGATTAAATCAAAAACATTCACACAGCTGGGCGGTGGTGGCACACGCCTTTAATCCCAGCACTTGGGAGGCAGAGGCAGGCGGATTTCTGAGTTCGAGGCCAGCCTGGTCTACAGAGTGAGTTCCAGGACAGCCAGGGCTACACAGAGAAACCCTGTCTCGAGAAAAAAAAAAAAAAATCACACAACGTAACTGGGCTTTTCAAGAAACCAAACTTCTCACCGTCCAGATTCCATGTGCTCCTTGTACCCAGGGCATTGTATGAACTGTCACCTGTCTTCTCCCACTTTGAGCAGAATGTATTTTTTTCTTTTCATCCCCTTCCAAAGCACTACTGGTGTAGAAATACAGTGGTCAATTAGACTGGAGTGTGGGGACAGGGATGGGGGGACAGGGATAGGAAGCTACATCACTAATGGCTCAGCAAACAGGTTAAGATGTCACCCATGATGCTAGGAAGCCTGAGAGTTGTTTCAAAATATTTGAGGAAGGGAAGAATTGCGAGTGGAAAATTAGGGTGACACAGGAGACACCATCGCCCACAGTGCTGTCAGAACCATGGGAGGACATGGGACCCACTGACTACTTTCACTCATGCTTGGAACTTCTGTAACATTTTCAAAGAAGCAAGTCTCTGGGCAATACCTGAGGCAGGAAATCTCTTACTGGTCTCTTCTCCCATCAGTCCCCTACCATGTCTGAGATCCCCTCTCATATTTGAGGAGGCCCTTATATCTTCCCACATCCTCTTTCCAGGCTTGCCTAAGCAAGTTCCTGAGCTCTTGGACTCAGGTAGCCCAGAAGAAACTAAGACAAAGGAACTGATTTCCGTCACCCTGGACAGTCCATCCAGGAGTCCAGAATAGCTCCTTTATGTCAAAGTAACGCACATAGTTCAGCACGCGGCTCGTAACTCACTTTAAAAGACCCCTCTCTTCCTGTGTGTTCTCTAATTCAAGTGCCCAGGACTGAGTCTTCAAGGAGTGGGCATGGATAACTGTATTAGGGTAAAGCAGTTGGAATGACAAGCTCTACATAAGTCTTGAAAGAAGACAGCAAATGGACAATTATTTTGCCTCAACAAGATGATCAATAAGACACTGTGCTGTGCCCAAATAAAACCACCTTTAAAAAATCCACCTCTTACCCTTCTGGTTCTTCCGTTGTCCAGTTCACACAGCCATGGCTACCCTGGAAGGCTGAGGAATTTTGAGTACACAGGCCTGCCCTGAGGCTAGTAAGAGGCAACCTCTCTGTTCCTTAGCTTCAGCTGGCCCTAGCTCCTTTAAACAGCTTGTGTCTACTTGGGAAAAGGATAGGATCTTACTGAAGATGTGAAGCAAGATTCAGCGACTGTTCAAATTCCCCAAAAGGTGTGCTTACCATTTTCTTACTGACTTTCCCCAGGAGACTGGTAGTTACCATTCTATCCCATGGAGACTGGTAAGGTTACAGCAGATAACTTGTTGGAGCTACTTGGGCACTGGGATCACTTAACTGAAAGAATTGAGGACTTTCAACTTAACCTTCCAAAGCTTTGTCTTGTCATTAGACAGCTTCTTTGCTTTGGCTGTGTGTGTGTGCATCTATCTACCTATTGATCTATCTATCTACACACACACACACACACACACACACACACGTTTCACTTCTGAGATTATTTCAGCCAACAGGTAGCTTTTCCACTATTACAGAATCACTACATTCTTCCCATGGGACAGGATGTTGTGCCATCCATCTTTTCCCCCAGTACTATTACCTGACATCTCCCAGCATGCAGCAGAGGGATTTTATTCCTATTTGCCCCCTCAAAATATACTTTCTCAGTTTCCTATCCTGAGTACTTGTCCTGATTTCACTCTCATTTGTCAAAATACCACCCCTGGTGGTACTAGTATCGGTGGAATTTAGCCTGGTTTATTTGGACTTTGCCTTTGCTGTTTTCATAATTGTCTGCCTCTGTTGAGCCGATGTCTCACTATACAGCCCAGGTTGACCTAACCTGGGACCTTCGTGCCTCCATGTCCCAAGTGCTGAATCTCAGGTGTGCGTCACCACACTCAGTCTTTAAACGTCTCTTCCACTGAGAATAACTGCTGCCATTGGCCAAGAGTTCGTTGCTGTGCATGTTAGATCCACCATCTCTACTTTTCCTAATGTTATATCCGTCTTTATTTTCAGAGACTCAGTATATTGTCTTTTAGGTCATGAGGGTAGTATGCAATAGTTGTTTCATTTGTATCATCGAATAAAAAGAACAATTTGAGAGAATGCAATGGTAGCATCCACACTAGAAATGAATGATGGTGCTTTTATTCAGTCTTGTTTTAGTAAGATGCCACATGGTGGCAGCATTTTGCCATGGTCAGTCAGATCTTCACAAAAGCTGAGACCTTACTCTCAGACATGAGCCACATTCTTTGATTAAAACTTGAGAGCACTGTTAAGTTTATTTTAGCAAGAACCTAATTTAACCTTGAATGTAAAATTTCCCAACTCATTTTCTGTATTTGTGTTTTCTTCAAAACTTACATATATCTTCTGCATTAAAAATATAGAAAGCCAGGCGGTGGTGGCCCACGCCTTTAATCCCAGCACTTGGGAGACAGAGGCAGGCGATTTCTGAGTTCGAGGCCAGCCTGGTCTCCAGAGTGAGTTCCAGGACAGCCAGGGTTACACAGAGAAACCCTGTCTCGAAAAACCAAAAAAAAAAAAAACCAAAAAAAAAAAAAAAAAAAAAAAACCCCAACAACCCACAAAAATATAGTAAAATATAAATTTAAAAGATACGCATAAACCAGACGTTAGTGGCCCATGCCTTTAACTCAAGCACTTTAGAGGCAGAGGGAGAGGGAGAGGCAGGTAGGCAGATATCTTGAGTCAGCCTAGTCTGCAGACCAAATTCCAGGACAGCCTGGGCTATACAGAGAAACACTGTCTGTCTCAAAGAAACAGATACATATAAAAATGGAATACAAATAAAAATTTTCCTGAACCATGTTTTTAAAGTTTATAGACAGTACAAAAAAGAAAAGAATTTACCAAGCCCAACAGTCTTTTCCTAGAGAATTAAAAGTATATATATACATTTGTGGTATGTCTGTATTTACATGCACCCATGTGTTCAATGAAGTCTCAGGAGGAGTTAGATCATGAGGCAGTAACCTCTATGCTATCTACCCCAACTCCATAAACTCACTTTTAAATTAGGACCAAGACACAATCTTATTAAATTTTGTATATAACCGTATATAGGTACTAGACTTATTCCATGAGACCTGCTAAATTTAAAAAAAGAGAGCAAGATCTCCCCAATTTAGTCATGTAGTTTCAAATAGACCCCTTTAAAGCATATACTTCTTGAAGGAACCTCTAAAACTTTAAATTTACGTCTTTTCCATTTTCTTTTCGATTAGAAAAATCAACAGAACACCTGTGTACACACAGCCAGGCTCCAAATGGGGAAGTGCACAGACATTTTATTTTCTGTTTGGAGAAGACAACCACTCCAACCTCTTTCTTCTTAGGATAAAAAGAGTGCATTTTGAAGCTAAAATGATCAGGTCAATTATCTTGGGGCGGGGCAATTCCTTTACACCATCAGAAAATGCCTGAAATGTCCAGCCACAGATTACAGCATTATCATTTGAAGGCTCACATGCCTTGCATAGTTCTATCTCCAGACACTTCTAAATGTGTTGCTAATATTAACATTGGTTTGGCCTTGCTGTATAGTGTGCTCTAGGTTTATGGCTTTAAGGAGCAGTCACCATGCTGAGTGGTTGGGCTTTCAGTGATACCTTTGAGTCATTTCTGTTCCTGTTTGTAGCCCCTCCCCAGTAATACCATACACTCACTGGTTTGTCATGTTGTACATTTGTGGGTTCAAAATCTGGGGTAAGACCTTTCAAGTTCTAGTATCAAAAAGACCAAGTGCAGAAAAGACCAAGCAGGAGCTTTTAACACTGCCGCCCTTCCTTAGATAGCATCTCGTAGTAGCTCTGGCTAGACTAACTCACCGCAATCCTCCTGACTCAACCTCCAAGGGCTGTTAGAGCCCTGAACCACACTGCACCTCTTTTTGTCTGCTCATGCAACATCATTATCTGCTAAAGGTTTCAACTTTATTGGATAAAAAAAAATTACAAATGATACAGCAATTAGAGCAAAACCAGTTCTTGGAGGGCAATACTTTAAATAATACAACAACAAAAATCTAATTGTTCCCTTGGTTTTAGTAAGTCTGCACGTCGGTGCCATCCTCATGATGTAGACTTACAGGGGACCATCGACCACAGAGAACAGAGTAGTTTCAATGTGACAGGTTTCCTTTCCTGCATCCTAGAACACGAAATGCTTCCAAGGTTAAAGCTCCTGGTTACAGTGTTGAAACAGCAAAATACTTCAAGCAAAGTTTTAATTCTTTCCTGTGGAGCCGAAGCCTCCTGAGCCTCTCTCGGTGTCATCCAGTGTCTGAAAGACAGTATGAGGAAGGGGAAGGAGTCAGTCAGAGCCTTTGCACACCTTCCGGACCCATTCAGAGGAAAAACATTCAAGACTCAAAGTAAAAAACTAATCTTGCTTAAAGATTACCAGTCACTAACTATATAGCTCCTAGCAGCACACTCTGAGCTGTCGCTCCTCTCCGGTGCACACAGCGTTCATTCTCCACTCACTGGTTACAGTGCTCACCTGCACTTCCTCTAAGTCTGGGTAGGAAATCCGCTCACAGATGAGCTGTGCAATCCGATCACCTTTTTTCACTTCAAAGAAAAAGCAGAACAAAGATTACCATCCATGTGTACTGATCTACTTCCTGTAACCTGTCTTGTTCTGTGAGACCAGAGTCAGCTTTACTAACACAGGCAGCTCAAAATTTTCTATGAACATGAACATATTTACTTAACTCACCTTCAAACTTCTCTTTCCCAAAATTAAACAGCACGACGCCAACATTTCCTCTATAATCTTCATCTATGACACCAGCTGGAGGAGAGAGTGATGTTAGTTTCATTCCTGCTGTCAGAGCATCAGAGGTCTACAGTGATCACAAAACCACCTCGCCAAAGATTTTCTGAGATTACAACCGACAAAGTCACGTTTTGGTCCTACAGAGTCTGAAAACAAGTTTTACTAAAATACAAGAATTTAAAAAATGTGTTGATTTTCCAATCTGAATGCCTATCAAGTGGTGAACATTTCCTACTGCAAGCTGAGCACAGCATGGTACAATCTCCATCCTCCCAGATGACTACCCAGGCCATGCACTGGAGAGACTAGGACCTCCTGTCTTCTCTGCTAACAGCTCCACTGATATTCTGACTGAATCATAAAGAACCAAGATTCCAGAGCCCAGTGATCTGCAGTGGGAGGTCAGGGGCACCTGCCCAGCAGTCTTGCAGCAATGGGAATCGCTGTTTACACTCTTCCCTTCATTTCCAACCCTATCCTTTTTAAACTACAATGGCTCAGTAAACACCCGCTGGTAAGCTTAATGAGTTCACTTGGAATTTCTGTTGTTGCGACAGCACCATGTGTGGAGGTCAGAAGACAGCCGTTGAGTCAGGGCTCTCCTTCCATCTCGTGGGTCTGAACTCAAGTCATTAGGCTCAGTAGCAGGCACCTTTACCCAGCCAGCCATCTTGCTGGCCCAAGATTATTTTTAAATGTCCAATTAGTACCTGTTTGATATTATAAAGTAAAATAGATCTTTACAGGAGACTTGCCGTGGCCCAGAAGATACATGCCCCAGACTTGCCCTCAGCTGTCCTGGAGTCAGAAACTTGATGTGTTTACAGAAGCACAGATAATGTGGCGAACAGTCCTCCGTTTCTGTTTTTAACATGGAGATCTAATTCACATGTCAAAGGCAGTTCATTCTGTCTAGACTGAGGATCTTTTTTTTTTTCTAAGTAGAACAGCAACAAACCTTTCACCAATCCAAATATTATATAAGGTTTCTTTTTTACCAGTTTATTAGCTTAGTCCTTAATACTTAGGAAAAGAACTGACGTTAAGATGGGGCCAGCTGTTTTCATACTCTTTGGAGAGAGGTTGACTGCAGGGTGATGTATCTTGCACTTAACAAGGAAACTCCTCAGTATAGAGCATGTTGTCCCATGTTGGAATGAATGACCACAGAAGGCTGAAAATTTTCCACCATGGAAGACCTTTGAGGTCCAGCCTAATAGGCCTGTCTATTACAAGTGAATCTGTGAAAGATAACCTGGACCGACTTTCAAATTCTTTTGGTTACTCAAACAGTATCATCATGCACAAGGTAAAAGCCAATATTATAGTAACAAAGTTTATAATTACTTTAATTCTTCCACCCCCAAAGTGCAGAGGATTTTAACCCAGGGGTATGGCGGCTCTGTCAAGGGATCACATCCAAAGACCTTTTATGTCTATATAATCCAGTTGGAATACAGACACACCCTTAGTACACACCTTTAATCCCTAACAGGTTAGTCTGTAGAAGGAAGCAACCATGTTTGAAAGTGATATCTAACTGAGGAGCAGACAAAGTGACTAATCAGAGAAAGATCTGACAGAATGGGTCAGAGTAGGATATACTCCAACTCACAGAAGAACAGCACAGGAAAGAGAAGCTACTTAAGGGGGTGGGAAGTAGTATGTTTCTACAGTAGTTTTACCAGGATAGCTGTACAGAGACAGACTGCAAGAGAACAAGCTAAACATAGAGACAGAATGAGCCAGAGAACAAGGAGCCAGAAGATTAGAACAGATTGCACAAGTTAGGATGAGGCTGTCAAGCAGAGCAACTCAGTCAGAAGTCAAGAGAAGCCATATTGAATCAGTCAACTTGGCAGATTAGATTGTACAGAGGATACACACCTCCAGGCTTAGGTCTAGGGATAGTTAGAACAGAGAAACATTGTGAGCTCAGTTCAAGCTGTGTACTCTTATAGCTTGGGTATGACGTTCATCTTATCTATCATCTGAGGAAATAAAAGTGACATTTATACCAAAGAAGCAGCTAGTCTTTGAAATAGCATAAATTTTAGTTAATTCCTTCTAGATACACACGTGGAAAGGAAATGCCAATATTTTTACATGAATATTATATAACAGTCATGTTGCTTTCATGGTTTTTGCTATGATATGTACGAAACAGCCCTCAATGTATATACTTATACATTAGTGCTAACTCAAGTAAGTTACAAAAACTTCCCTGGGTCAAAGGATGGAGACATGTACATTGCTAGATCACCCCCAAAAGCTGTAAGCATAGCCATTCCAACTTCTAGCAGCAATATTTGAGAGTCCATTTGTGCTAGGACAGATGGCAGCAGTCTAACTGCTGGTCAATATAATAAATAAAAGAGACATTCTACGACCCTACCTCCCATTTCCCCGTGGCTGGACATTTTCCTTTCTATATGAATAATAGACACTTGCATGTCCATACATGTTTCTACATTTTGTCTGTTTTTTTTTAATGTGTTCTTTTTCATGAGCTGTAGATATAGTAATTTTGTATCATTCATACACACACACATACATACACACATACACACACACACATATACACTTTTACTGTGTATCTGCAAGTTGTGTCTTGAATTCTATAGAGCCTTTTATATGCTTGGAACATGAATATGTGAGAATCTTTGACTAGCAAGCAAATAAATAATCAAAACAATGTTGGCTGTAGTGGCAAAGGCCTACAGTACCAACTAACTGGAGGCTGACATAGGTGACGCTCAAGGCTCACTGGTAACTTAGTGAGATTTTGTCTCATGAAGATGTGAAGACAGGCTAGAGGCAGGGCCGGCAGTTAGCTCTGGCTGTTCTTACAGAGGACTTGAGGTCAGTTCCCAGCACCTACAAGACAACTACAAGTGAAGAGAGGACTAGGGGAAAATGGAGTCAGTACAGTTGCCCCAAGTGTGTGAGTTCTTGGGTTCAATCCTAGTGCTACTAGTAAAAAAAAAAAAAAAAAAAAAAAGCAAGCAAACCAAAAAGCCAGAAGTCTGATCTTTTCTCTGCGTGCTTAAGAGCCCTGCGTATAATCTCTGTGTCCTCATCATCTCTTCACGAGAACGCACTGAGTATCTTGAAAAGTTATCCGTGGAAAAGCCAGGCATCGGAACTGGCAGTGGTTAACCGACTTCAGGCAAGGTTTTCTGTGTCAGACTTTGGCACGTCACCGTTGGAAACTTCTTTGGTAAAAATGCTCCACACCTTCCAGATGTGAATTCAGAACACAATCTTGCACAGTCAACTTTTCCTCTTGACCTTTATTCACATCTCCCTCCAGTTGCCAACTATGATAAACTTGTACCTAAGAGAAATTTTTTAGATATTCTGCATCCAAGAACACACCACAATGTGATTTTATGAATAACTTCATACCAAGCAACAGGGAAACTAACTTTCCAACTACACAATTTTCCCCCAGACAGTTGTTTTAAGCAGAGTAAAATTTAGAAACAAAGTTGGCGGGGGAAAAGAAGTTTCCACATAAAAAATTTGCTATGTCCTTAGGAGACAGATCTGTTAACTTGAATTAGTGTGTGCCAAACACTGTTGGATGCTTCAGACACATTACTTAGCTCTCCTACCCCTCAGAAGTAGGTATGCTAATTCCTACTTATTAGTCCTATTTAAGAGGATTATCCTCTTAAAAAACCTTTGAGGTCTGGAGAGATGGTTCCGAGGTTAAGAGCACTGACCGCTCTTCCAGAGGTCCTGAGTTCAACCCCCAGCAACCACATGGTGGCTTACAACCATAGGTACTGGGATCGGATGCTGTCTTCTGGTATATCTGAAGACAGCTACACTGTACTCTCATACATAAAATAAGTCTTAAAAATATCTTCAAAATTTCATTAAAATATATATAAAAATCTTTTATAACTTTTTTTTTAAGACTTATTTTATATATATGAGAACACTGTAGTTGTCTCCGGACACACCAGAAGAGGGCTTCGGATCCTATTACAGATGGTTGTGAGCCACCATGTGGTTGCTGGGAATTGAACTCAGGACCTCTGGAAGAGCAGTCAGTGCTCTTAACTGCTGAGCCATCTCTCCAGCCCAGTCTTTTATAACTTTAAATTAGGTAATTAGTTTATCCCAAGTGACTGTATTTGAGTTGGTAAAAAGTTGGTTTTTTAACTTTTATTTTATGTGCATGGATGTTTTGCCCACATAGTCTGCTCACCACATGCGTCCAGAGCATGAGGTCAGAAGAGGGCACTGGATACTCCAGCACTGGAGTCACAGGCAGCTGGGCTTCCACGTGGCCGCTGCGAGCTGAATTGGGTCACCTGGAAGAGCAGCCAGTGCTTTTAACTGCTGAATCATCTCTAGCCTATAAAAGTATTTTCTGAAAATTAAATGTAACTCACTATGCCCTGAGGATTCTCAACCTAAGAGAGGACATAAATACCAACCTCGAGGCAACATAGATCAGGAGAGTTATTTTGGGTATCTGCCTTACCCCACAGCACCACCTAGTGATGCCATGGGAGACACCAGTACTTTCCAAAACAGCAGGCCAATGAGTAAGGTCTGGGCAGCTTCATCAGGTACTTCATTAACCCCTACAACTGGCACAGAACAGTTAATACAGGACAGTATGCCCATCGGTGGCTTTTAATCCCGCTCGTGATAATAGTGCTGTTAGAAACACATTTCTATGACAGTTTTCTCATCTTAAAAACAACACCTTTTGGCATGGGTCTGTAAAAAAATGGCTGCAAGAGAACCTAGCATACCCTTAGGTGAGGGCTAAGGTGTTCTAAACGATGGATGAAGACCAAGGTCAGGACAGTAAGCACCACCCCAGTAAGAGATCAGAAACAAATAAGCCTATCCTTTGTAGGAGCCAGGTGTTTGGTTTCTGACCCCTAGGGCAAAGGACTGAAGTGCTTATTTTACACATCAAAGCAGACTTGGCCTCCAGGTTCTCCCAGCATCCCTTAGTGCCCTACCTGGCACGCCTCCTGCCTATGTAATCCAGACATTTTAGTCTCTCTTCTTTCTCCCTTTCTCTCTTCCTCCGCCCAACCTCCAAGGTAACTTGCCTAGCCTCAGTCCATGGGGCGAGTGAACTTGCCCAAGAGCAACTTCCCAATAAACCTGCCTTTAATATAATCTAATCTGGCTCGAATTGGCTCATTTTACTAATGGTGGAGGAAAAAAAAAATCTATCACCCACAAAAATGACTCAGTGATTAAAAGCACTTGCTGGTCTTGCAGAGGAGCCCTAGGTTAACTTTAACAGCATGCACACAACAGCTCACAACCTTCTGCAACTCCAGGAGAACCAGGCATACACACAGTGTGTGTACATACACACAGGCAAAAGCCTGGCATACAGGAAATAATCAGCAAAGTGAAGATTCTTTACATATAAAGGTATGGTTAGAAACCCTGTAGCAAAGATGGCTACTAGACAACAGTCACAAAGGCAACATGGGAAACAGATGTCTCTGAAGATAGTTTTGGTAAACGCAGGAAAGCATCATGGGGCAAAGTACCTTGTTACATTTTGCAAAACAAGTACAGCCTTTCCTTCCCCCAGAGCTAAGAAAACTCTTACAAACTGGATCTGCCTTTTCTAGAACCTCTTGATTATTAGTTCAGCAAACCATAACCCAATAACCACACAGAAGGTTTTCCTAGTTTAAGAATTAATTTTGTATTAAAGTACAGATTATCAAGACAGCAAGGCAAAAACCCCTCATCACACTGTGCCTGTTATTAGTAAATAATATGCATTTCACATAGTATGATCATTAAATATCAGACACCATCAAACAATATTATTGCCTATTCAGACTTACAAATTTCCAGTGGCAAGGATACTACTAAATTTCGTAGAATAAAGAAATGTTACCTCCTACATCTATGAAGTGCTTTACAGCCAAGCCAGAACGTGGAGCTAAAAACAAAATCAGAAAACAGTGGTTATTTTAAACGGTAAGGGGAAACGATACACCATTTTTGACATAACTTAAATACCATGGTCTCCTCTAATGTTCATATGGTCATCTTAATTCCAACAAATCATTCTCTTTTCTTCGAGACAGGGTTTCTTTGTGTAGCCCTGGCTGTCCTGGGACTCACTCTGTAGACCACAGCTGGCCTCGAACTCAGAAATCCGCCTGCCTCTGCCTCCCAAGTGCTGGGATTAAAGGCGTGCGCCACCACCGCCTGGCCCAACAAATCATTCTTAAAGAGCACATTTATCATACTATACCACTAAAGTTGGAGAGGCTAGCTTAGAAAATTCAAAGCAAACTCAAAGCCTGACCACGTGACTGATGGTATTGCAGATGCAAACTATGGATTGCTGGAATGAACTGGAAAAGTAAGTAAGCACACACAGCCCAGTCTAGTGTCTATTACAACTGCATATGTGTATGATGTATGTGCAGGTTAGAAAACAACGCTGTGAACTCAGGTCTCTCCTTCTACAGGTGGGTCCCTGGGACGGAACTTGAGTCAAGGCTTTTGTGACAAGTGTTTTCCTCACTGAGCCATCTTTCTGGCCCAGCTTGTGGGTCAAGACTGGAGAGCTGAATCTGCAGATCCTAGATGGGAAGAAGGAATGAGGCTAAGCAAACAGCAGACCTCAGTCCCTTTATTATTCAGGTTAGGAGACCTGTATGCATGAAACATGAGTGATGACCAAAGGCCTCACATTGGTGAACTAAAATATCTACAGCTATGCATCAAAAACCAAACTCCCTTGTACATCTTTAATTCTAAAAATGGGAAACATTTTATTGCTTTAACTTGCTGGGCTGGCTAACAGGTCCACCTCAGTAATTCTAGTATCTAAAACTATGCTTGAGAATAACCTGTAGCAGGTGCTGTGTCAGTAACGCAGTAACTGTTACCTCTTCTTGAGAGGTTAACCTCTTTCAAACTCTTTGCTTTTCTAGCCTAGGAATTTAGAAGTGTGATGCTAGAGACCAGGAAAACTCATTTTGCTTTTTTGGGGGGCCAAAGTACTAGAGGTTCTACAGATGCACAACAAGACAGTGTTAGTCATGCTCTCTTATCCAAGGAAGAGACTTGGGTTTTTTTTCTCCTACTTATTTTGAAGTTACAAAAAGCATTCATATTTTTGACAAGTTTTGAATTCACACTCTAGACAAGCAACATGCCCTAGAAAAATCCAAACCCGAGAACTCACAGCCCACTTTTCCTCAGAAGTAACTGATGAAGGTTTTCTCTAGAGTGGAGAGGCCCTCACTCTCATCTCTAGGAGGCAGAACAAGACAAGGCTTAGTGGGCTGAGACGATCTGGCAATTTCTCCCCCACAATATAAAATGCTAAGACCTATCATTCTAAGACTCCATTTTCTTATACAAACACAGTTACCTACAAAGACTGTGACCTCACATGTAGGCTGGAAAAGCTCCAACTAAAGAGCACCTGAACTTCACACTTTTCTGTGAAGTTTTAAGATCCAGCAACTGGGTCAATGTGATCATCCTATTAGCTCAAGAACATATTTGAAATAAAAAGCAAAAAAGTAAAAGCAGACATGTAAATCCACGTTGTTGTTTTTTTTTTAAAAATGGCTGTAAGCATTTTCTCTCCACTCTGTGGCCACACAACACTAAGATGACAGACGTTATCATAAAAGACAGGCATGAGAAAGTTACCTGTTTCTTAAGCCACTTACCTACTCTTCCATAGCACCCAGAAGGAACAGCTATCTGAATGTCTGTCTTCACAATGGCTTTCTCCATGGGTGATATTGTATAATCATAGGCACTAAAAGACAAGTATTTTAAACTGCTTAAGCATTCTTTCCTATAATGCATGTCATTACTTCATAACTTAGATCCTATAAACAATCTTATGACAGATTCCTAACTCACCTAAAAGTTTGCATACAAGGTAGCAGGCATTTTCTTTTATCTTTAGGTAACTTCATATCCTTAATCCTAGCACCCAGGCAGAGAGCTCTGTGACCTCCAGGCCAGGCAAAGCCAAGAAGACAAAACTGTCTGTGGGAGTGGGGAAGTGGGAGATATCAACATTGTCTCTGCTATGTGTTCTGTGGTTTTGTCTCTGAAGGTGATGGCTGGCGAATTAGCATGAGGAGCAGAAAGGCAGACTTAACTAACTTTATGGAAAGAATATGAAAAGCCAACGAAAGAGCAAACAGCTAACACTCACTAGGCCCTCACTCCATGCCAGGCACACTTCCAACCTGCTAAAGTGTATGAACCTATTTTACTTTTGTAACGCTTTTCTTGATGAGGGTGAACCTGCAGAATAAAATGTTAAAACACAGGTGAGAGGCAGAGATGTCAGAGATGTACTGCATTCCTTCTGCCTCCCTGGCTATGACTGTCAACTACAGTGGCTGAGAGAGTTGGTCTCCTAGAGCAGCTCTTGAGGATGGACACAGATCACAACCGATTTTAGAAAGTCCATCTACCAAATACTGATGTAGTCTTTATTACTGCAGCTCCCTTCCTGATTAAACAAACAAACAAAACAAAACAAAACAAAAAAACTTCAGAGAGTTTACAACGAGCAGAGCTGGAAGTTAGTCTAGCATCTGGTGTTTAAGTGTCCAGGTAGCTCCATTTCCGTCACACGGAGCCATTCCCAATACACAGAAAACACCAGCTTATGTAGAAGATGGCCAAAGTATCTAAAATCTCTCCCAAGACTGGGCATGCTAGATGTATACATTCGGGTCATCAAGCTTGGTGCCCATGGCAAGTGCTTTTACTTTACGATGAGCCACCTCAGTAGCTAGCCGTAGACCCCTTCCTTTAAGTTCCCAAGTCCTTGGACCGGATAAGAGAAGTAAATAGCTTCCATAGATCCTTTACCTTGACTCTTAACCTGCGCACCGCAATGGTCACCAGTCAAGAATAAGCCTTGCTCATTAGGACCTTCCATTTGGAAAGGGTGGAGAGCACGCTGCGCAGTAACGCTTGGGAAATGTCGTTAACCCTTTACTTTCCCTACTGAATTTGCTCAAAATGAACTCTTCAAGTTTCTGCGCGAACGCGGCGGAGCCACGACTGCACCAAGGCTCGGTGTTTGCATTCCTGCCGGCCGGCCGCGGCTCTCACCTGTACAGGTCGTAGCCTGCAGCGCGCGCGGACCCGCGGGTGGGCGCCGTGGCGTGCTCTGAGAGCCGCACGAAACGCAGAGAAGGGCCATCCTCCGCTCGAGCCCTCTTGGAGACAGAGACGGCCGCAGCGTCTTCCGAGCAGGGCATGGCGGCAGGCGGGGGAAAGCAGAAAAGAAATGAGCGTGTGAGCCGGCCCGCCGAAAATCTCCCGCCTGGACGAGCCCACCGCGCAGGAGGGGGGCGCGGCCTTCCGCAGAGGGCTCGAGAGCGGCCTAGAGGAGGCAGGGACCGCGGCAGGCTCCCCTCCTCAGGGCTCCAATGGACTCGCTCCCGCGCTCCGGGCCAGGCCCAGGCTCACCGTTACCTGCTCAGCCCCGGGCTCCCTACAAGCGCGCTCCCGCTTCAAACTCCCCCACCAACGCGCGCTCTGGAACTGCCCCAATCCTCCCCTCCCAGGGCTCGCTCCCGTCCCGGCCCCCACCCCTCACCAGCGCGCGCTCCAGGCCCAGTGCGCGCGCTCCAGGCCAGGGCTCCTCTGCTTCCTTGGCAGCTTCGGCTTTGCGCGGACGCGAGCGCGCGCGAGCGGAGCAGAGCCGGCTGGAGGCGGCAGTTCAGCAGCTTGCACAGGAGAGGCATGGCGCTGCAGGCCCTGCAGGCCCTGAGGCCGCTGCCCCGCCCCGCGCTCCGCCTTGCGGCCCTCCCGCTTGCCTTTCCTGGCCCAGACGTTCTGAAGCGCAAACAGGAGACCTTTTGCTTTCCATCAAGGGACCTGCAGGGCATTTTAAAATCCCTTGACCTCAGCCAAAACAAGAAGGAGCCCCTCCTGACCCCCGTGGCTGGGATTCAAACATTCTTTGATTTTTCAGGGAGGATAATTAAAGAACTTTCTGGAGTCTCTGGTTTTATCTGGACTATAGGGGAATTCAAGTTGTGGTGCACTTTGATTTTCAAAATAAATAGAAGGCCCAAGGCGCTTTTATAGAAATGCCAACTAAACATATTGGGACAGTTGGTTCCCCTGGTGAGTGTGCAATACACTACACTTCTTGAGGATCTTTTAAAGAATCTGTTATTGAGCAGACTCATGATGTGTCTGTGTGGTCCCTCAAATCATGCCAATGAGAGGTCACCTTCTCCATCCTCCTTCCACCTTTAGGTTTGGGGATAGACCTCTGGTGACCAGGCTTGAGCAACAAGCTCATTTTTCCACTGAGCCTTCCTCCTGGCTCCCAGGCTTTAAAGCTTACTTATATGCCAGAACGTCCTAAATTTCTAACAACATGATCAGACTGCTACCCATTTTCCCTCTGCCCTTTGGTCAGTGTCTTTCTAACAATTTCTAGACCTTGCTTTGGCTTCAGCAAAACTCAATTTGTCTCTAAGAGGCCATTCTGGAAAAATCTTAACTGAAGTGGCTATCCTGCCTCCACTCTGTTGTCTCTGAGAATATTTTTCTGTTTACATTTCTTCTTACTACAGTCTGCACGTACATGTATTTTCTTGCCCAATGTCTACTTGTTGGTTAGATTCAAAAGTCCATGAGGTTAAAGGCTCTACAGGCCTTGATCCTCTTCCCCTCTCTCTCTCTCTCTCTCTCTCTCTCTCTCTCTCTCTCTCTCACACACACACACACACACACACACACACACACACAGCTGACTGAGGATCTAGCAGGATGTAGTTCTCAGCTACTGCTTCAGCACCATGCCTGCCTGTTCCTCTGTTCCTTACCATGATAATGGACTAATCCCTCTGAAACTGTAAGAAAGCCCCCCAGTTAAATGCTTTCTTTATAAATAGAGTTGTGTTGGTCATGGTGTCTCTTCACAACAATAGAACACTAAGACAATGATTTCATTGTTTGGTAAGTAGGACCCCTGTGTATTATTTCTTCTCAGAAATCTTAGTATTTGTGTTCAATCCTTTAAAACAAAATTATTGTTGGGCCTGGAGAGATGGTTCAGCTGTTAAGAGCACTTGGTGTTCCTGTATCTGATCCAGTTTGATTAGCAATACCCACACTAGTGATTCACAACTGCCTGTGACTCCAGCTCCGGGGAGCCAGCTGTGCTTTCTGACTTTGGAGGGCACCTGTACACACGTGGTGCACAAACAATCAGGTCCACACAAAGATATATAAAAATATATTCTTTTCAGTTTTGCATACAAACCCGTATGTGCTTTGACCATAATTCTCCAGTTCTTAACCTCTTACCCCATTCTCCCGGCACCAAACCCTTCTTCCTATGAAGTGCCTCTCCTGGTCTTTTGTTTGTTACAGGATATTTAATCACACTATGAACCCACAGACTGTGTCATTTACTGGAAAAAACCCATGTCTGGTTGTGGTGTGGCTCAGCCCTAGCACAGACCTTTCATCCAAGAGCTTTCTGTTTATTGTAAACAGAACATGAAGTCAACCATAGGTCAAGAGGCAGAGCAAGCAACCAGTTAATAGGAAGTGAACACTGGAAAAAAAAAACATTCAGAGTAAGAGGAAGTCAGGAGAACAGATAGAGAGATGAACAGCCATTTAAGCTTGAATGGTTTTTGAGAAGGTGTGGAGGGCAACTTCCTTTTGGGGACTAGCTCTGGAAGGTCAGTTGGTTGCTTTCTCTGCCTCTCTGAGCTAGCAGGCTTTCACCCCAGCATCTGGCTCCCAAGTCTTCTTTGGTAAAATAGAATGATTGAGACTTTGTTAAAAACAACATTTGTTTGTTTGGTTTTTTTTTTTTCTTTTGAACCCACAGCATTTAACTAGACTTGCCTCCCTGAAGCTGAATGTGAAATCATTGTGTCTGTAGCTTCTCAGGGAAAGGTGGGGCCTTATCTGCCTGTTATTTTTATTTTCTGAATTTATTATGTTTTTCAGACAGGATCTCATATAAGCCCCACGACCCGACCCACATTGGGCTTGAAAAGGATAACTTTAGAGTTCTCATTCTCCTGATTCAGTCTCTCTATACTGGGTTTACAGATGAGGGCCGCCATGCCTGATTTTGTCGGGGTCTGGGGATAGAACCCAGGGCTTCATGCATTCTTTTGTTTGTTTGTTTGTTTGTTTGTTTTTCAAGACAGGGTTTCTCTGTGTAGCCCTGGCCGTCCTGGAACTCACTCTGTAGACCAGGCTGGCATCGAACTCAGAAATCTGCCTGCCTCTGCCTCCCAAGTGCTGGGATTCAAGGCGTGTGCCACCACAGCCTGGCGACTTCATGTACTCCAGGGAAGCACTTTATCGACTATTCTATATGCCCAGCTCCCTGGTTCCTCTAATTTTAATTGAAGACTCCTCCTTATATCGTTATTCAAATGTAAGAATCAGGCGTGATACCTTCCCTAAACTTCCAGATATCTACTCCAAGTCTCACTCCTTAGGGGCAATACTCCCAACATTCTGGGCTTTTTGTGCTGGAGTTTACTTCCCTGTTTCTAGATTGTGAATTGATATTTCTTTTAAAAGGATACAGAACTCACCTTCTCAATTAGGACATTTTTTTTTTTTTAACACTTCTTAAGCACCAGGCCGGGAAGTAGTTTAGTAAGGACTTTTACATCATTCCTGGAATGCATTTCGTCATGACTCTAGCACTCTCTACCGATATAAATAATGTCATATTAAAAAAAAAAAAAAAAGCGGTCTCAAGCTAATTGTTTTTGCACTGTAGTTATTGGAGCTACATCTAACTTGCCTATTCTCTTTGTTTTGTTTTTCCAGAGCCTCCTCTTCCCTAGACTGGCTCTGGTCTGTAGTGGTGACTTTTGTCCTTCTGAAAACCTTGGCTGTGCTTCTCTCACTCTGGAGCACGGTTCAAGGCCCCCTCTCTTCATTTGTTCCTTCATTTTGCTGGGGTTCTTTCTCTTGTAGTTTCTGAAGAGTTCACATGAAAAATTGTTGGAATCCCTGCTTCTCTTATCTTGTGATAATTGCTAGGACTCCCTTTTCCTAGTCTCAGGTCTCAAGTGGCTCCAGAAACTTACACCCAGGAGTGACGTCTGCCCCCATCTTATCTCCCGTATCACTTACTGAATCATTTCTGCTCACTTAGCCTTGTTTCATAGTCTCATATCTTATCATACAAATTAGCAAAAGTCATATAATTTCATGAATGCTTCCAAGTGGTCACATGAGTATTCTATTCAAACAAAAATGTTGCTTGGCTTACAATACTTTACCACCAAACTAGTATGTATCTTGCAGTATCTTTTGTCAATTTGGGTATAGAAAGTGTTTTTTCCAATCATTTTTCATTTGGGATTATTTTAGACTGAACAGAGGAAGGGCCAAGTGAAAAGGGGTATTAGGGTTCTGAGGTGTTACATATGACAGGGCATTATAAAAGACAGTGGAAATGAGCTCAAAACAAAAATTGGACTGAAATCCAAGCCACCGCACTTAAGAACTGAACATCTTCCCGTCTTGGTTTATCCAATCAAGATACAGCCATCAGTCCTGCTGACTAATTTAACTGCATGCCCTGTGGCAGCTTGAAACTGGAGGATCAAGTGGTAGCTTTGCCATTCAACCTGGCGTCAGAGTCCAAGTCTGTCCTCTACCATTCTCTGCAGTCTCCATGTGTCCACTGTGACAACTCAAGACTGAGGCTGCCTCCGTACATGCTCTTTAGGTCTGCTAAGATGACCTAAGAAGAATCTGGATCCTTCATTTCAGAGTCTTCTTAAAATATTTTGTTTGTTTTGTTTGTTTGTTTGTTTGTTTGTTTGTGGCTGTCCTGGAACTGGCTCAGAGTCGATTTGCCCTTCTGGAAGTGCTCCTTCTCTGGGCCACATTCTCTGGATTTCCTCCCAGCTCCTCTGCTTCTTTTCTCAGGTGCTTTTCTGATCCTTCTTAACGTCTGGTGCTTCAAGCTTAAAATAGTCTAAGGGGAGCCAGGTGTCATGGAGCACACCCTTAATCCCAGCTCTTGAAAGGCAGAGGCAGGCAAATCTGAGTTTGAGGCCAGCCTGGTCTAAACAGCCAGTTCCAGGACAGCCACAAACAAACAAACAAAATATTTTAAGAAGAATCTTTATTTGTTTTTATTTATCTCAGGTCTTCCCTGCTTTAAAAATAGTCTGCTCCTGGGCACCAACTAATGCTTTGCCCCATTCGATGGTTTTTCATTGCTTGTACCTTATATGCTTATCTGTTTCACCAGCTCATTGTGCATCTACCCTTGACTATCACCGAGACACCCTGGAGGACTTAAAACTCTGAGTTGCTTTTCAGAGTTCTAATTATTGTTTTACTCTTCCTCGTCTTCTTTTAAACCTACTAAACATTTATTTCCTGTTTTCTTGTTATGTTTTACTGTGTTTTTTTTTATTTAAATGTGAGTTTGATTTATAAGTGTTTAAAATATGAAATTAGCCTAATTATTATTTTTTCTGGATAATCCTGGGTCTTTACAATGCTTTGATCTTGCTAATCCTTTTCTCATTTGCATAAAATCATAACCTAGTATTTTAAGCATTCTGGGCATTTAACTTTAATAAGCCTAACTCTTAGTGGTACTGAGTAGTCATTTAAAGCGATGTCCACCTATAGCAAAGCTTTATTTTGAAAACATCTCTTACTCTCTATGAGATTGGAACATTTGATGACCCTCACAGCCAAAGTTAATAACAGATCTTAAGGTCACTGAA